TCGCGGTCGTCAGCCCCGCCCCCAGCGCCGCGACCCCCAGCCCGGACGCGGGCTCGGGCCTCGCGGGGCCTCGCGGCCCACCCCAGCGCCTCACCTTGGGCCGAGAGCTGGCGGACGCTGTTGACGAACTGCTCCAGTGCGGACGCCATGTTCCCGGCGGCCGAGCGGCAGGAGCGGCGCGCACGGGACTAGGACCGGCGACCCACCGGAGGGCCTCGCGGGCGGTGACGTCACTTCCGCCGCCGAGGCACCGCGAGATCTTCGCGCCTGGGCCGCGAGTACTGTTTCCATGGAAGCAGTTCCGGGGACGCGGCGGCGGAAGCCGCCGTCTCGTCTTCCCCTGCTCTGCGCACGCGTGAGCTCGCTCCCGCCACTTAGCGGGGACCGCAGACAAAGCGAGGAAGTCAGGTCGTAACTAGGCACGTGTTTTCCGGGTTTGCGTTTTCCACCTGGCCGGATCCCAGCAGCCAGGCTTCACTGCCCCCTCTCCTGAGGCGTTCCTGCGAGGTGCGGGAGCAGAGCCTGCGGCCAGACCCCTTTCGTGCCGCTTGGTCGCCCTGTGACTTCGGCCGGCTGCTTGGCGTCCTCCGCCTTGCTTCCCCCGTGCGTGCATCTCACGATGCGCTGCACCGCATAAAACACCTAGTGAGAGCCGTGTCTTCATTCAGGAATCTGGAACTGACCCTGCCTCCTCCACCCGACGCCGGAGCACTTTTTTCCTCTCGCGCGGACGCGTGTCTCCAGAAGCCACCCCTACGCGCTGCTCCTACTGGCATGGAGCTCCTCGGGGTGCAGCATCTGTCTTATTCATCTCTGTTCCCTCTTACGGTCTGGCGCAGGGTTTGGTCCACAGTGGGGAATGAGTAAAGAAACATGTATTTTATTCTTCATCGGGGGAGGTTATAGCTCAGTGGTAGAACGCATGCTTAGCGTGCATGAAGTCCTGGGTTCAATCTCCAATACCTCCATTTAAATAAACAAGCCAACCAACCTAATTCCCTCTGCCCCTCATAACATCTTCCCAAAGTGGAGTGACGGGACAGTGAGGAACAGTAGATAACACGTGGGAGGAAAGCAGTGTCAAACACCGGTGTAAAGCCCTCCCACACCCTCCATGTCTGTTTGGAGAGCCACGCGAGTCCAGGGACCCAGACTTGGATCTGAGCGTGGGACCTAGGGGGGCAAACCTCACCTGCTATCACCAGCCCCCTCTCGCCACCCCAGGCATGTGACTTAGGCTGATTCACTCTGAGGGAAGGTCAGGACTTATGTGAAAGCTCTACCCTGCAGGGTGGAACAAGGAAGCCCCAGGCACAGGGGCTTCTGGGTGCCTCCTTGGGGCGCAGGGGGGGAGCAAGATTTAAGAAGCTAATGTCTCAAAATCCAGAGAACAGAAACAGAAAGAAACCAGTCCTATGTATCACTAGATCTCTGGACCCAGTCTTCCCTGAAACAACCCTACCTCTCTAGACCTCTTAGCCAAAATCTGACCAACAAAGTCTCCTCACTGTTTAAGCTTTCATAGGCTAGATTCACGTGGTGTTTTCTCTCCTGCGTAGGCACACGCATCCTGAGACAGCCCTTTAACTCCACTCTCCCCAGGACAACCCTCCAGGGCAGGTGTTATCTGGGGGTCCTCCAGGCTGTTCACAAACATTCCCTTTCTCTTCCTTCCACTCCCTTTGAATTAGGGGTGACTGTGTGACTTTATTTGACTGATGAAACACAGGTAGCAGCGGCTCGTACCATTTGGGATGGGAGTTTCTAAATGCCAGCATGTCACCCCTGCCCCATAAGGGGGCTAGTGGAAGCAGGTGCTAAGATGGAGCCTGCATCAGCCTGGGTCCCTGACGAGGATGCCGCTTCCCAACTGTGTGTCCCAACCCACATGGGACACACAGTTATGCAACAAATGACCCCAGAACATAGAGGCTTGACATTTAAGGTTTCAGAAACATTTGCTATCTTGCAATTTCTGGGGATCAGGAGTCCTGTCACGGCTCAGCTGGGTGCCTCTCTCACAGGCTACAGTCAGGGTGCCATCCAGGGTTGTGGGGCTTATCTGAAGGCTCGATGGGGGACAGTGTCCAAGCCCATTAATGTGGTTACTGGGAGGATTCAGCTGCCCTCAGGCTTTGGGACCTCAGTTGCTTGCTGGCTGCTGGCTGGGGTCTCCCTCAGTTCCATGCCAGCTGGCCCTCGCCACAGGGAGCTCACACGCAGCAGGTGGACTCCCTCAGAGACCCGGGTGGGGAAGGAGGAGACAAGAAATGCCAAAGTCACAGTCTGTCTGGGACCCAGGTCTAACACACCCCAGAGCAGGGTCTTTCAAAAGCAAAATCCCAGGGGGCAGGGCTCACCAGGCAGGATTTTAGAGGCTTACTACCACAATGAGTGACCGACAAACTGAGATTTGGGGGCTGATTGTCGCTGCAGCTTAACCTAGCCTTTCCTTATTTGATGCACTTTTTACTCCCCATTACTCAGAAGAGGAAACTAATGCTCAGAGAGATTAAGGGGTTGTTCTCTGTATCTGTGAGGCTGTTTTCATTTTGTCTTGTTTGTCCTGTTTTTCAGCTTCCACACATAAGTGAGATCACACAGGATTTGTCTTTCTCTGTCAGACTTATCCCACCTAGCATAATAACCTCTAGATCCATCCATGTTGTCACAAACGGCAACATTTCACTTTTTATGGCTAACATTCCATTGTCTGTATACCATGTCCTCTTTATTCATCTGTTGATGGATACTAAGGTTGCCTCCGTATCTGGACTATTATAAATAATAATGTTTTTATTATATAAATAAAAATATCTTTATTTTTCAGAAAGCTTTTAAAGTTTGCTCTTTATCACCGGTTTTGAGCAATTTTGATTATGACATGTCTTGGTTTTCCCAACCATGGGAACGCCAATCATCCATAACATAGAGGCAATGATAGATTTACAGCATCAGACTAGAGTCCCTGTGTCAGGAAGCAGAAGTATATTTGAAAAAATAATGAGTGAAAACCTAAATTTGATGAAAATCATAAATGCACAGGTCCAAGAAGCTGAGCAAACCCCAAACACAAGAAAGATGAAGAAACTATGCAAGGCACAGCCTCCTGAGACATGACAGTATTAAGGAGATCACAGATACCAACAAAGTGATCCCACAGAGCTGTTTATGAATTCCTGACCTCTCCTCTGGGCAATGTGTGAACTGGAACCTACACCACATACCAAAGACTTAAGGATATGAGTCCCGGGGCAGACTGCCCTCCAGGATTGAGCACCAGTGGTGCACAGGCGAGATACATCCCAACAGCTTGGAGACTGAACGAAGGAAGCCGTGGTCCACAGGGGGCTGGTGGGAAACGGTGAATTAAAGCGAACCTGGTCAACTGCCTGCTAAAACAAACCAAACCAAACAAACAAAAATCAACATTCTCTACAAGAGTCAAACAAGAACTAGTGTCTCAACATAATATTTAAAATGTTCAGGATGCAGTCCAAAATTACTCAACCTATTGAGGACCAGGAAAATGGCAGATTATCAGAAGGCAAAAGACATTCATATGTCATTTCAGGGCTGACACAGAGGTTGGGATTCTTAGAGTTTAAGACAGTTATTAGAACTGTGCACTAAGAAATAAACATGAACACACCTGAAACAAATGGAGAAACAGACGATGTGAAAAGGAGCCAAGCAGATATTTTAGAACTGAAAACGTAGTAAGTGAAAAAAATGCAGGATAAGATAAATAACAGAGCAGAAATGAGAGAGGAAAGGGTCAGGGAACATGAAGATAGTTCAAGATGAACAGCAGAAAGAAAAATATGAAAAATGAACAGAGCCACAGAGACCTGTAGAGCTATACCAAAAGGTCTAACGTTCATGTCATCAAGACTTTTTTTGTAGATATAGACAAGCTCATTCTAATATTTTTATGGAAAGACAATGGAAGTAGGAAAGCCAACACATTGTGGAAAAGAAATTATAGGACTCATAATACCTGGTTTTGCGCCTTATTTACGAAGCTAAAGTAATCAGAACGGTCAGATATTGGTATAGGGATAAGCACATAGATCAACGGAACAGAATAAAGAGTCTAAAATGGACCCGCACAAACATAGCTGATTGATTTTTTTGCAAACCAGCAAAGGCAACTCAATGGAGAAAGGATACTCTTTTAAGCAAATAGTGTTAGAAAGCAGGACATCTACTTGCAAAAAAGAAAAAAAAAGTTTTTCACACCCGTTAGTATGGCTGTTATCAAAAAACAGAAAATAGAAAATGTTGGTGAGACTGTGATGAAATTGGAAGCTTTGTACATTGCTGGTAGGTGTATACCAAAAAATAATTGAAAGCGGGGACGCCAATCCAATGTTTGTGTACTCATGTCCATAGCAGGATTATTCAGAATAGCCAAAGGGTGGAAGCAACCCAAGTGTCCCTTGACAGATGAATGCATAAACAAAATGTGATACGGACCTAAAATAGAATATTACTCAGTCTTGAAAAAGAAGGAAATTCTGACACAGGCTACAATGTGGATGAACCTTGAGGACATGATGCCACATGAAATAAACTGGTTATCAAAACACAGATACTGTATGATTCTACTTGTATGAGGTCTCTGGAGTCATCAAGTTCATAGAGACAGAAAGTAGGATGTTTTTTTCTAGAGGCTGAGGGGAGAAGGGATGGGAGTGAGGGTTTAATGGGGACAGTTTCAGTTTGGGAAGATGGAAAAATTCTGGACGGGGGTGATGGTTGCACAAGAATGTGAATGTACTTAATGCCACTGAACTGTGCACTTAAAATGGTTACAATGGTAACTTTATGTTATGTATATCTTAATCACAGTTTTTAAAATGAGCCCTAACTGGAACCTCAAACCTTACAAAAAATAACTCAAAATGCACCGTAAATCTAAATGTAAAATATAAAACTATACACTTTTAGATGAAAACACGGGAGAACATCCTTGTGACCTTGAGTTAGGCAAAGAGTTCTTAGCTATGAAACCAAAATCATAACCTGTAAAAAAAAAAACCACACACAGAAAAGAAAACATGGATGAACTGGACTTAATCAAAATCAAATTTTTTGCTAATCTAAAGTAAAAATGTTGAGAATGAAAAAACTAGACTTAGAGAAAATACTTGAAATCACACATCAGGCAGAGAAGTTGTATCCAGAATACTTAACTGTTGAAACACAACTGTAGGAAATCAAACAAGCCAATAAAATGGTTTCAGAAGATTTGAACAGAAACCTCAGCAAAGAAAACAGAGGGTAAGTAAGCACATTTCCCATCACGGGCCATTAGGGAGCCACAAGGAAGAACCACTACTTAGCAGGATGGCTAAAACACACACACACACACACACCCACACCCGCAAGGAACCAACCCAAGGAACAGGAAACTGATGAGGCCAAGTGCTGGATGGGGTGCAGGTCCCAGGGACAGAGCTGTTGGGATGAACAATGGTGCAGCTGCTCTGGGACCCCGTTTGACATTTTCTTATGTAGTTGACACTTCCCATGTGACCCAGCAGCCCCACTCCTAAGTATCTACCTGCGAGAAATGAAAACATAAATTCACACAAAAATCTGTACTTGCATGTTTATAACGGCTCTATTCATAATCACCAACATGTGCAAACCACCCGGGTTCCCCTCTGACAGGTGCATGAGTAAACCACCTCTGGTGCATCCATGTCACGAAGTGTCCTCTGCACTGAGCAGAAATGGCCTCCAGTACAGGCGTCTCGGATGCATCTCAGAGGCACTGTGCTGAGCGGAAGACGCTAGTCTTGAAACACCACATACCGCACAGTTCCACGTTTACGACATTCTGTGAAAAACCACTCTGGGGACACAGGACCGGCCTGTGGTTGCCAGGTTAGGGAGTGTCTGACCCCGGGGCAGCCGAGGGAATTGGTTTGTGTCCTGGATGCTGTGGTGGTTACATGAACCTGTACATGCGTTAAAAGTCATCAAACTGCACTTCATTAAGAAGTCCATAATGCTGTATTTCAGTAATTTTTAAAATCCTAAAGAAAAAAAAACCCAGCTAATTAAATGAAATATCTTAGTATTTGAAAACGTTGGGCCTTTTTCCGTAGACCAGCTGGCCCGTAAGCGTCGTGGTACCGTCTGCTGACCCATATCAGAGGAAATTATGGAAGGCGTACTCAGGGGACAGTACCTTTTCCTTCCCTAACCCCAACCCCCGGGCCAGGCTCTCCTACCCACAATGCCGTTGGTTCTGGTGTAACACAAAGTTGTGCAACCTCCTCCCCACCCGACTCCAGAACGGTTCATCTCCCCGACGAGAAGCCCGTCCCCGCGAGCCGTCGCCCGGTCGTCTCGGGGCTCGACGCCCGGCTTTGGTTCCCTCACTGCGGCCACTCCGTAGGTTACTCTGCCCACTTTGCAGGTGTATTTGCGTTTGTCCGTCTCCCCTTCTAGGACGTACGCTCCAGGGTGGCCAGGCCGT